TCCGCTCCCTACTCTCGAGGATAATCCACTAATACGACGGGTTTTCGACATTCACCCAAAACGTTCACAATTGATTTTTAACGCTTACCGACAAACGTTTGCAACACACACTATGTAAACACACTCTACACACACAATATAAACACACACAAGTGTTGGTCTAGTCCATGTCCTCTTCCTCAAATGCTCGGATTTATAACATCTCTCTAGGCTTTACAACCAAACCACTTCTCTTGGAATCAACCCTGTCTCTCACCAACCACTCCTCTCGGTGTACAAGTGTAATACAAACTGTAACTCACAATAACGCTCAAATACAAGTGTAAAATCCCATAAATTTGAAAATTTTCATGATAAATAATAATAAATATGTTTTATGCTGAAAAATAACATATTTTGATGTTTAAGTATGATAAGAATTGATTTGAGATCAATTCAATGTATATTTGTGAATATATGAGTGCAAATGCACAAAACATGCATGAAGAAAAACCTAGGAAAAATGACCAGTTAAGAGTTTCTATGTTTTATACAACGATGCAGTTGGAATCTAGAAAAACTCAAAAGATCAAAGTTGTAGGTTCAACAACTTTCCAACAAATCTTAAATCATCTCATTCTAAGGTAGGATGAGAAAGTTACAGCCAAAATACCAAAGGTGATTTTTCCAGTCAGAATAGGTTTCCTGGTTCGGGTCAAACAGGTTTGTTTTGGGTTTGCCTCTATAAATACCTATGTTTTTCACGAAAATTCATTTTTTTATCAGATCTCTAAACCCTAGTAGCCACCATCTCCCTTCAAAAACCCTAGATCTTTTTCTTATGAATTTTGAGATCTTTGTGAAGCACAATACCGACACGAGGGCCAGATCATCGACATGTGGTAAGGGAGAACATGTTTTTTGCACTTATAGACTGCTTGTTGTTTGTTTTAGAGGCTTGCACATGATTTTAAGGCAAAATCCCTTTCTCTTTAACTTGTCATTTCAACTTTTAGACCTCTTATGAATTTGTTTGGACTATACTGTGATTTGATTATGCTATGGTATGAAGATTGTGATAACTGTGTAGGCTTGTTGATGATCATATTAATAATGATGTTATGATAAGTAATTTAAAGGAATACGTATTTTAAAGTGGTTATGTTGAGATGTTTTTAGAAGTATTATGATGAGAAAAGGATTTATTTAGAAAAAAGGATTGGTTTTGAGTGATGATTAGAACAGATAATTTAAAATTATTTATTTCGGAAAAGGGGTCATTTTGAGTTGTTAAGTTATTTTGAGCAAAAGAATTATGTTTTTGATAATTATGATGATTTAAAAGAATTTATTTTTCAAAAAGAATTATTATTTTGGATTTAAATTAAATTATGATTTTATGTTGGTCGTTGTAGACTATGACTTTTCATGTGCAAAACAATCATGGTTTTCGATTTTAGTTTTAACCATAGTCATATTGGATATTATTTAGCTACGGATAATTTTTATGAGTAGTTTTGAGATTCGGATAACAAGATATTGATGAAACCGGACTGTATGCATGTTATTTTTATGAGTAGTTTTGAGATTCGGATAACAAGATATTGATGAAACCGGACTGTATGCATGTTTTTACTAATTCATGATTACATTTCAGATTCGGATAACAAGATATTGATGAAACCGGACTGTATGCATGTTTTTACTAATTCATGATTACATTTCATGTTTTATGAATATTTTATTGTATTTAACATGTTTGCTTTTATTGTTCCTATTGTGTTTGAGAACCATTAGTAGTTCATGACTTAGTGGCCTCGTGCGTCATGTTGCTTTTATTGTTCCTATTGTGTTTGAGAACCATTAGTAGTTCATGACTTAGTGGCCTCGTGCGTCATGGACAGACCTAGTGACATGTGTGGGTGTGTTGACTAAATTTAGATGGTGAACCAGAGATAGTGTGGCTCATGTTTGACTTAGAAAAGCGAGATGAGTTGGGATGGGGAAGTCATTGTTCATGTGATCGGATAAGACTGTTGATGTATCTTCTAGGCTCGCACCAATGAGTTTGTGTAGCACTGGGGTTGGTTTGTTGGGTCAAAGTGAAGTTTGTGTAGTCACTTTGGTCCGTAAATTTGATATTCACCCAAGTTTAGCTTGAGTTCGAACCAGGCTGAAAACGGATTACGTGTAGTCCTTTGACCGAGTTTGTGTAGTGGTATTGGATGCACGTAGGGGATTTGTGAACAGATAGTTATCCGATAATATGAGCGTTGACTATGTGTGAGATGTGGACCGGTGAGTTTTAGAATGGCTAGTACTTTACCCAATTATTGTATGTGTATAGCTATATGTTATCACGTTTAGTATAGGATTACTTTTTGACTTATTAGATTTCCAGCTGCATATATCATTGCCTTTCTTATTAGTATTATTATTGTCATAGCATGGGTCATTAGACCGTTTTATTTGTTCATGTGAGATCTTGTCGTGTGCGATGCACACTGACGTACACCTATTTTCTCTGGTGTGCATCAGACTTAGGGGACAGACCAGTTTGATAATGCAGCGGAGCCGGCGTATGCCCAGCCGGAGTGTCCTTCCGATGAAGTGGAAGAACAAACTGAAGCCTAGACGTGTTTTCTTTTCTGTAGTAGTTGATGAACATTAGAACTCTTTTAACGTATTTTTCTTTAGTTTGATGATGGATTTAGTTATTTTATCAGTATTTTCTTTTATTATAGACTATGTATTTTTATTCCTAGTTGAACCGTTTTTGTAATAAGGGTATGTATGATCCATATTTTTTATGTCTGGGATGATTTACCATTAATGATATGTTTATTTCTTATTCTGGATTGTCTTTATATTCTTGCTATTATGATCAGGAAGCTATGATTGAGATTTATGTATTTGACGCTTAGCGTATTGGATTGAGAGGAAAAGAAAAGAAAAAATAGTAGTGTATATTATTTCTCAATCTAATACGTCGCGGGCTTGTTCACATTCTGATTCCCTAATATTTTGGGAAGCGGGACGTGACAACAAGATTTGTTCTCTACAATGGGTGAGAACTAAATGTAAGCTCACTCTCACAATATCATAATCCTACAACCCAATATATAGTGTATAAAATACTAAAAGCTCAAATAGGGATGTGTGTGATAAAATGAGTTTAATAAAATCTAACTCAAATAGCAAACTAGTAATAAAATGAACATGAAAAATCAGTAATAAAGTGCTAGATAAATGAGTTAGGGAAACTTCTCTATAAACACGGAGAGTAGATGATAAAAGATTGAGGATGAATTCCTCAATTGACAATGTAAGCTTCCTCTTTGTAAACAAACACCAAAACTTGAGAAGAAACAAACTTTTAAACCCTTTTAAACTTTTGTTAAAACCCTCTTAGATGATCAATAAGAATGAAACAATAAGGGGTATTTATAGAATGAAAACCAAAGCACAAAAACCAAAGAAAACCCAACAACAGGACAAGAAAACAAAAGGCTGGAAAAAACTAACCGTTGGGCTGTCAGTCGACTGATACTGTTTATCAGTTGACTGATGAGCTGACCGTTACAGATAACTAACAGCTCATCGGTCGACTGAAGACATCATCAGTCGATTGATGATGCATCAGTCGACTGATAAATTATCATTCGTAAAAACAAAAACTTTTTGGTAATTCTGGGCGAGTTCATCAGTGGACTGATAACATGTTTTCAGCCTGAATTGAGTAAAACTAATTTTTAAACATTTTTAAAAAATAGAAAATAAATTCTAAAAAACATAAAACTTTGAAAAAAGTTTATAAACATGAATAAGAATATGTTGGAAAAATAATTTTTTAATTTGCACTTATCATTTGTAAAATCTCAGAAATATTCAAAAACACTAAAATACATGTGTTCATAAACATGTTAATTTTGATATTTAGCTCAAATCAAGTTTTGAAACCTTGTGTAATGTATTTATGAACTCAACAACAGATGTTTATAATGTTTGTATAGTCCAAGGCATGTTAAAATATATTTTGCATAAAAACACCTATGATTTGAGAAATTTCACAAATAAATGTGTGTAAAATTTGAGCTTGAAGAATTAGCACACATTACATATAAACCTATACTAAGTATACCAAGAGAGAATCATATGAAGCTTGAACTTGATTGGTTGACTTGATTTGTATAGGCTTCAATATCAATGTAGCTTATTTTTCTGTGTATACTAAACAACACAAAACCAAAATACTAAAACTAATATTAATCATAAATTGTTTGTTAAAACATTATCAAAACAAGAAGCCAACAAACTCATCTCATCTTATTAACATTTTATTTCCACTCATTTCCTCCAAAAAAGCTAGGAAATCGATTTCCTTATGTGTGAGTCACATCATCTAATAATATAATGACAACTCATATTATCTCATCTATTTTTTTATTTTTATGAATGAACCAAACACAAGAAAAGAACCTATTACAGGAAATAAGTTTCTTATAATTTATTTTCTTATTTTTTTAGCCAACCAAACAAGCTCAAAAAAAATTCTTAAAAAAATCACCAACATCATCCAATAATAATGTGACAACTCATCTCACATTCTTTGATTTTCTTCTTTTTAACCAACCAAACAATCTCAAAATAATTTTTTTTAGAAATAAGTTTTTTATTCTTTAATTTACTTATTTTTTTAGCATTAATGCATCAGGGACCTAAATAGTGAGCTCAATGCATGAGACAGGTGAGGTGTCACCATCCGATTGCATGATGCACTGTTCATAAACAGTGCATCATGCAATCGAATGGTGACACCTCACTTGTCCCATACCTTGGAGTCCTTATTTGGGTCCTGTAGCAACACCATTTTTTATAGGCAAACAAACAGCCGCTTAGTCAAAATCACCTCAATGTCTAATCGAAGTAATACACCTGACACCAAATAACGCTTCCCTTCAGCCCCTGCCACCTGCCACCTTTTCATCTTCCACCCCTCCTCTTCTCACCCGCACTCCCTCCTTCCTCTTCCTCTGATCGCCCAAATTAAAACATCTCTCTTCTCCAAAACTCTCTCCTTCCACTGATCACGCTACAAAAATAAAAAAAACCATGAAGGTCAATGGGTCTTCTTCTAGCCTCAGACCCAACATCACAGAGCTTGATATCGAGTCACACTCACATCTCTCAAACCTTACAGCAAGCCAAGAGATTGAGAACCTCAAGAGGATGAACCACGTCCTCACAAAAACAGTGGCCAGCCTGGAGGAAGACAACAAAACTTTCAGAGAAAAGGAGCTCAGGGATCGCGAAACCGAAATAAATGAGTGGGTGGGAGAAATGCAGAAGACAACAGACAGAGATTTCTTCAGAGAGAAGAAGCTCTTGGAGTTGGAGTTTGAGAAGAAGAGAGAAAGGGATGAGGTTGTTGAGTGGAAGAATAGGTATTGTGAGCTTGAAGCTCGGGTGTCGAAGCTTATAGATGAGACCGTTGCAGAGTTTGAGAGGAAAGAGAGGGAGGTCCAAGAAATGATTGCGGAGGTTGAGGAGGAGAACAGGGAGCTCAAGGCTCGGGCTTTACGGGTTTCTGACGAGAGGTGTACCCTCGGGGGGAAAAGGTACGAGGAGGGAAATTTTCATGTCAAGGAGAAAGAAAAGGAGCACATTGAGATTGATGATGATGATGATGATGAGATTCCTCCTAGGCATTCTACAAAGAAGAGACTTGCAGAGGGTTCTCATTCTTCAAAAGAATGCTCTGTTTCCCCGAAACCGACTGAATTTAAGAGAAACGGTTGGAAAGGAGCCTCTTTCAGAGGGGAACATGTGCAAACTCCATTAGGGTCAGTAACCAAAGAGCAAGAGTTCAGTAAAGGGACCCCTATCCAAATCTTCAATTTTCATGTCAAGGAGAAAGAAAAGGAGCACATTGGGATTGATGATGATGATGATGATGATGAGATTCCTCCTAGGCATTCTACAAAGAAGAGACTTGCAGAGGGTTCTCATTCTTCAAAAGAATGCTTTGTTTCCCCGAAACCGACTGAATTTAAGAGAAACGGTTGGAAAAGAGCCTCTTTCGGAGGGGAACCTGTGCAAACTCCATTAGGGTCAGTAACCAAAGAGCAAGAGGTCAGTAAAGGGACCCCTATCCAAATTTTCAATTTTCATGTCAAGGAGAAAGAAAAGGAGCACATTGAGATTGATGATGATGATGATGATGATGATGAGATTCCTCCTAGGCATTCTACAAAGAAGAGACTTGCAGAGGGTTCTCATTCTTCAAAAGAATGCTTTGTTTCCCCGAAACCGACTGAATTTAAGAGAAACGGTTGGAAAAGAGCCTCTTTTGGAGGGGAACATGTGCAAACTCCATTAGGGTCAGTAACCAAAGAGCAAGAGGTCAGTAAAGGGACCCCTATCCAAATTTTCAGTTTTCGTATTATCGGTTTAATTACTACAAGCTTAACTCAAAAAGATTTCCCATGTGATTTGTTCATTTGCTAATCTTTAGGATTTAAAAAAAAAAAGAAAATCTCATTTGTAAATTGTAAAGACGTACACAGGAAAATCTCTTTATAATTGTCCGGTTGCTAGTTGAATTTTAGATAGTTTAGCGTCTGGTAGCCTTCTTTTACACGTACAATTGCCTATCTCTATGGAACCATAAAGTTATGGGGGATTTTGTTTCCCAGTCAATGGTAGAACCTTTTGGAATGTATAATCAATTTTTTTTTTCTGAATTGTATATATATATGTTTTATCAATATATACAGGTTCTACTGGCTTCCATGGCGTAAGTTCTCTATCTTTTTTATCAACTTCAAAGAATGAGCATAGTATTAACTTAATGTGTTAAAGTGGGGTACTTGGAGCCTGTCTACTTGACTTCCAGTAGATTATAAGATGATTTTTCAGACATCTCAAACAAGTAATAGCACCTTCTTAGAATTGTTATTAAGCTAGAGGAACAAACAAGAGCTTGTCAGAAAAAGCATTTAATATCTATATAAGAAAGTTGGAAGATACCGTGCAGTCAACAATCGACATCACTGAAGGAAGAACCTATAATTAGCTTTTTCGGGAAATTTCGAGATCAACTGCTGCAATAGTTATGTTTTACCCCCTTCTGAAAATGGCATAATTCTAGGAAATGCAAACCATCTACTGTTGATTTACACCCAGAGAAATTGGTCTTATGACCATCTTAATGCTATATTTCCAAATATTCTGGAAACGGGAACCAAAAGGTCTAACCTATTCTGTGATATAGCTGTAAACAAAACAAAAGAAAATCGGAAAAATAGACCCAACAATAATGAGATAGGCTGTCCGAGCAAAAGGATTTGATGCATATCACAATAAGCACTGTTGGCTCATTGGGTACAAGCCATACCATGGATTATTTTTTCTGGCTCGCTTTTAGTCAAGCGTCCAGTTTAGAATGATTTCAATTTGAGGAGTCTCATGTGTAACTGTAATCCTATATCTTAGAGTCGTAAAGATGTGAGTGCTTGATTTATTCAAATTGGCTGGATCTTTTCAAGTGCCCTATTATGGTTATAAATATGTAAAGGGAATTAACATTCGACATGCTCTTAGGCCTAAGAACTTTTCTTCTGCCCTTTTAGTTTTCTTTACTTTTTCTCGAGAAAGATGTGTAAGAAATTTAGTATCGTCAACGCTGTTATCCAGTGGAACCTGATTTCTGCAGTCATACTTCCAAATCTCTCCCTTTTCTGTGTGTAGGCTTTTTCCAGATTTGTTGTGATTGTATTATTGCACATAGTCATTAGGCATGAGATTAGCAATTTTGCAATTGTGTCATGCTTTTTCGGATATAGTGTTTTTATGTTTGAGGTTTCTCTCTCTTTTTTTCATTTTTTTTTATTTTTTTTGCTAAGTTCATTGCTGAAAGAAAGCTTGATTACTGAAATGCTCAAGCATTTGTATCAGGATGCTGGTAGAGGAATTCGAGGTTGCAGGAAAAGGTATTATTTGATGATTAATACAATTATTCAATTATCTAATGTAGTTAATGCACATGTGTTGTGTCCTTATACTTTCAGCGCCTTGGATCGTCGTTCTATGAGGTCCTTTGATAAACAAAAATATTGGGTATATACTGGACGAACTCCAACTACTGAACAACATATACATGCAGAGAAGAGAGCACAAATATTCCAGAAAAGTTTGAGGTCTCACAACCCCTCATTCATTAGATCAATGGTCCCTTCACATGTCTCCGGTCGTTTTTGGTTTGTAAGTTACAAAGAACTAAAATAAGTTAAATGCATTCTACTAGACATTCTCTGGCACTTACATTTGAAAAAAAATGTTGCTGTTGTGCTTAGTGTCTTCCTTCAAAGTTCTGCAAGGAGAACCTTCCCGCTCATGATCTGAAAATGATATTAGAAGACGAGAGGGGTTCGGAGTATAAGGTCAAATATATTGGTCGTAGAGCTGCTATTGATGGTGGGTGGAAACGGTTTGTGTTGGCTCATAAATTGGAATTGGACGACGTTTTGGTATTTGAATTACAGAAGCCAACAAGATTCAAGGTACAACTGTGTTTTGCTTTTAATTGTTTATTGTACTTCACATTGCATTATCCTTGCTTATTCATGATATTCATCAATTGAATTGTATTTATCTAACATGCATCCAACTTATGGTCTCTTAAGAGCCATGGTTAATAGATATGTCAACAAACTAGCAGATTTTACATGTCAAGGCTCCCTGTTTCTTCACTTCCTCTTTCTTAGAGACAGTGACAGAAAATCCCAATATATTTTGTTCACTATTTTAAGACATGATCAGATGCAATGTACATGACTGCTCAATTTGTTATAATATACCTCATAACCAAGGATGACAAAAACCATGTACACCATGAATCATGTTATGTATTTTCTATTACTCAATATTCTGATTCCATGCTAGATTTGGAAATAACACACTCCTTAAATCCTCTCGGATACAAGTTTCCTTAAAGAGTGATAGGAAAAGAATCAGAGAGCCATCACACGAAATTGGAGTGACACGATAATTTTATGTTGAAACCCCAAAATGGGAAAAACCACGGGTCAAGCGGAACGGCCTGAAACTTCCACTATGAGGAAGTGGGATTATTATAAGTACTCAGGGAATACCCTGGATTACAATGAACTTCTTCACCAGAAAGGCGGATGACAAACACTTGAGAGGCTTTTTACTCTCTGTATTTTTGGTTTTACTCAATTGCAGGCTCTGAACTTCCTGCAATTGTCTTCTTCAAGTTGTTCTTATCAAGTTCATTTGTCCTGTATGTATATGCATCAATAGGGACCTCTAATAACTTTTTTTTAATGTTTGACCTTCCGCATTCACCACACATCAAAATTTCTATCTGATAGTCTATGTTGCTTGGGTACAGGTACGTGTAACAGCAAATTTGTAAAAGGTAAGGTACGGGGACACGGCTATATAAATATTTATATACACATATATTATATATTGAAATTAATTATTTACGTGGTATCCATATTTTTTCACACATAAACTATATATTAAATTTCCTATAGCATTTTTATGTTTCTTTTATTATGTGGATTATAAATTGTAAAAACGCTCGTTTTTTTGAACTAAACACCCCAATGGTCATCTTTTTACTGGAACTTCATGCAGGTCCTCAGGCAGACCTGAGTATGTTATTTATTGAAAAAAGAGTTTACAAGAATAGTGGTCAATAAAGATAAATTCGAAGCATGCAAAAAGCAGGGTACCATAAAACTATCCTGTAACATAGAAAGCTAAACATACTGAAAAGAAACCCTGAACGCCTAAAAGATTAAAAAAAATACATAAGTAAACCACAAAGTTTAAGAAAAATGGGCAAACCGTGAATGTCCTACACACAAAGATCCCTACGTTGAGGTCCTTACATTGAGGCGGCAACTCTTAAGATGAGTGAAACATGATAGAGCTCTTATGATCATGACCTAGCCTCACCAGAAAATCGGCACCGAAATCCCTTTATGAAAGATTTGAAAAATAGGAATCATAGTTTGGAACCAACAAATTTGAAGAAGTGGATGTGAAGCAAAGAATTTACATCTAGGTAATGTTTAGAGCCACCAACAATTGAAGAAGTGGATGTGAAGCAAAGGATTTACGTCTAGGTAATGTTTGGAACCAACAAATGACCGTTAAAATCATAGTTTGCAACCAATAAGTTTGAAGAAGTGGATGTGAAGAAAAGGATTTACGTCTAGGTAATGTTTGGCAAGTGTTCTAAATTAAAATGTGTGTTGTGTAATTGGGTACATGCCCGGATTAATGTATGCATATATGCAAGGAGCGTCGAAGGAGTTTGGGTATGAGTATGGGTATGTGTCGGGTGTTCAAGATAGAAGTACCCAGCTAGCATAGCTGATAGTAGACCTAGGTACATGAGAATATCTGTAATTTTTTTATAACAGCTCTTTTGCGTGAGCATGTTTTAATTACTTCAAAATTCAAGCTGCAACATGCTCATGAAAATTTGTGGATAACAATAATTGGATAGGGAATACTTGAATGACTGTCAAAATGTTCTATTTACTTGTCTCCTGTCTCTCTTTGTCACTCAATGGATCTCCCTGACTTAAAACCAACTTTGAGAAGCAATCGGAGAATTCAATCGTAGCATCCCAACATTCTAGTCTCTTTCAATATATCATGAATATTCTTTAGACTAGACAGTGAGCTTGTTCACTTAATTCCCCTGAGCAACAAACTCAAGTAGTTAGTCATTATCGACCTATACATATGACTTGTCCATTGTCACGGAGAAAAGTATTTGTCTACATCCAAATGCTACAAAGGACAAGTGGTGGTGATATAGCAAGAGAAATAAGCAAATATAAATCAAGGCATGAAAACAAGATGTAAGCAAACATTGTTCAGATTTCTTGATAGGACTTGTCATATGCATGTAATATTTTTCGAAAAGTTTTTGTTTAGCCATTAAAGAATGCTATTTTGTTGACCCCGCGCCCAACCTTCGTGCATTGGGTTGCCCCTAATGCCATTTTATTGAGACATGACAGGCATAAGAGATAAACTAAAGAATTGTTTTGTAGATTAGTTCAAAAAAGCAACATAAACACCATATCGATGTTTTACTTCAACATAGAGATTTAGAAATATTGCAATACTTCAAATTGAAAATATTCATTAAAAGTCCAAGTAACAGGATCCAAATAATAATAATAAAACACCCTAAACATGAGAATGAACTGACTCATGGAGTGTTAACTTGTTTATTGACTCAGCGCAGATAAGGCATACAAGAATGCTTATCCAACTCACAAAACTCGTACTTTAAAGTTGACAGGATGACTCCATTTTCTAATCAATTCTTTCAAAGTCTTCAAGGAAGAATGACCCAAGTAACTATAAATAACTAATGGACAACATCCCAAGAAAAACTAAAATCACTTAACTGATCAAACTACAGCTGCATTTTCTTAGTATCAGATGCGCAATAGGAAACGACACCTCTAACTTTGTATAGATTTTGTTGAGTTTTACATATACTTGTGAGATAATTTCTGTTCTTTCTTATCTGGGAACTGTAGAATTGGTGAAGAAATTGGAGAAGAACAGGAATTTTGGAAGCATGGACTGTTTTGGTGACATTCAGTCGACCGCGAGGCCAGGCCGGTTGACCGGAAACGTGCACAGCTCATGGATTGATTCTGGACTTGGTGCAGTCGACCGCCGCGGTCGATCGCCAAACCCTGTAATCGATTCTGAGGCTCTGGAGTTGGTAGCGGTCGACCGCTACGGTCGACCGCCAAACCCTGTAGTCGATTTTATGTTTCTGTCGACCTGGTCGGTCGATCGCGACGAGTTCTGCGGTCGACCGCCAGTCGGGTTTGAGCTTTTCTGACCTGTTTTGTTTTGTGTTGATATATAATCCTAAACACGTTTTAGGGTTTCTGGTGGAGAGCGGTATTGGGGATATTTGGAGCACATAAAAGAGCCTTATTTGGAGCTAATGGTTAGGGTTTTGTTTGAGAGATTGAGAGCTTTGTGTGAGAGATTAGTTTGTGGATTTGTAATCTCTATTTTTACTCCTTCTATATTAGTGAAAACTCATCCCCTTCTTGCCCGGTGGACGTAGGCAACTTGCCGAACCACGTAAAATTTGTTTGTTTGTGTTCGTGTCGTTATTTTAGTTTTTTTAGCTTTCTCTCTTAGCATTGGTACTTGTTCTCGGCACCCCATCGGTTTGGCCTCCACGCACAACAAGTGGTATCAGAGTTTTTGCTACGCTTGGGCTACATGGAGGAGTAGATTGCTTTGGAAGCTCATCTAGGGCTTCAGTTGGTGATAAAGGTAGGATTTTTACTATTGTGGATCTCGTTTTCGTCGTGTGAGGTTGAGATCTTTCGGAGGCTCTTATTAGGGTTTCACTTGGATGTATAAAATGTTAGACCCTAGAGGGGGGTGATTAGGGTCTTATGCTAATCTAATCCGATTAAATGCCAATTAAAATTAATTAACAAGTTATCCTAGCAAGTATGAAATACAACAATATATGAGATAGGATAAACAATATGAACAACGAGATATATCCTAACAAAGAGATGTAGGGAATGTATGTGCAAGGATATATAAGCTAGCACATGATGATATATCCTACCAAAGAGATATACAATATGATATATGAGGCGGCAACTCTTAAGATGAGTGAAACATGATAGAGCTCTTATGATCATGACCTAGCCTCACCAGAAAATCGGCACCGAAATCCCTTTATGAAAGATTTGAAAAATAGGAATCATAGTTTGGAACCAACAAATTTGAAGAAGTGGATGTGAAGCAAAGAATTTACATCTAGGTAATGTTTAGAGCCACCAACAATTGAAGAAGTGGATGTGAAGCAAAGGATTTACGTCTAGGTAATGTTTGGAACCAACAAATGACCGTTAAAATCATAGTTTGCAACCAATAAGTTTGAAGAAGTGGATGTGAAGAAAAGGATTTACGTCTAGGTAATGTTTGGCAAGTGTTCTAAATTAAAATGTGTGTTGTGTAATTGGGTACATGCCCGGATTAATGTATGCATATATGCAAGGAGCGTCGAAGGAGTTTGGGTATGAGTATGGGTATGTGTCGGGTGTTCAAGATAGAAGTACCCAGCTAGCATAGCTGATAGTAGACCTAGGTACATGAGAATATCTGTAATTTTTTTATAACAGCTCTTTTGCGTGAGCATGTTTTAATTACTTCAAAATTCAAGCTGCAACATGCTCATGAAAATTTGTGGATAACAATAATTGGATAGGGAATACTTGAATGACTGTCAAAATGTTCTATTTACTTGTCTCCTGTCTCTCTTTGTCACTCAATGGATCTCCCTGACTTAAAACCAACTTTGAGAAGCAATCGGAGAATTCAATCGTAGCATCCCAACATTCTAGTCTCTTTCAATATATCATGAATATTCTTTAGACTAGACAGTGAGCTTGTTCACTTAATTCCCCTGAGCAACAAACTCAAGTAGTTAGTCATTATCGACCTATACATATGA